CGCCGTAAATTTTGCAGCGAAGAGCTAATGTTCGACCTCCGCCGGTACTAATGATTGATGTTTTTAGTGCATGCTTACTACGTGCTCGGCGGTGAAGGCAAGGTTCGAGAGGAAACCTGAATATCTGAAAAATAAATTTCTCTTTAATCGGGATAACAAACAATTGTACAATATAATCGTATCAATAAACTATAGGGCAACTATGAGGCAACTATAGGACAACTATAGGGCAACTATGGGGCAACTATGAGGCAACTATAGGGCAACTACGGGGCGGTGTACTTTTTTCAGCGAAGGCATGTGAAGTCCGCTAACGCAAACTGGGTGGGGCAGCAAGTACTTTCATGCCGTAAATACCATCTCAGAAATGAGGAGATGGTTAGGCTACAGAGCGTGCCGAAGAAATATAGGTACATATTATCTATATACATACTATACATACATAATATATACACACGAAAAACCTATAATAAAAATAATACTTTTCAACAATACAAGTAAAAGAAAATTAAGACCGATAAAAATATTAAGCACACACCTTAATAATTAATATTTTGTTGAACGAGGCCTATAATCTTGTACGGGCGGTAGTGCGTTACTGAGCGCGACGCGATCACTTGCACGCGCTTCATGAGGATCATTTAACATACTACTGGTTTTTAAATAACATTTCTACATAATAAGGTCAGTATGTGATGATTTGTTATAAACTAAAAACATATATAATTAGCACATATTTGATTGTGTGATCAAACATATTCTATTATTTACTAATTTGTAACACCATACCATGTTAATATTTGACCGTTAATAAAGTAAAGAAATAGAACATTCATTTTGTTATTTTATTAATATCGAACTGAAAAGATTTATTCAAAGAATATGTAGAAATCAAAGAAAGAACGCGTGATACATATTTGGAAACATTTTTAGATGTCTATTTGTATAATCAGTATTATGGAACTCTGTTCAAATTTTATTGTCACTTTTATAACGAAAAGGGCAAAATAATCAAGTTTAAATTGGAAGTGTGAAGGGAATGCTATAAAATTCGGCTTAGGGCGTGCAATCTTAAATTGCTTTGCTATAAAAATGTAAGGGACTAGGAATGAACAGCTCCGGAAAAAGGGAATCACATGTTCGAATAGTTCTACTGTTAGATCTATGATAGAACAAAATGGACAGTCTTTTCCAATTAATTCTACTGTTCAGTATGATATAATGGATTTACATAAAATTTTCAATAATCACTGATGTCCATGCAGTTCCACTATTCTTATCAGCTGAAATAATTTATTTATTTCTTTAACAACGACAATGCTATCAAGTCAATTAATCGCAATGTCGGGTCAATTGGAGTGATCGGGACCAACAGAGGGAATCAAAACGTATTTTAGCGGGATAAGTAGTAACATTCAATCTTTTCTGCCGACTTTCAAAAAGGAGACGGTACTCAATTCGACTGTATGTTACTTTTTATGTGTGTTACCCGATAACTTTTTACTGGGTGAACCGATTTCGATTATTCTTTTTTTATTTGAAAGCTGATACTTCTCGTGTAGTCCCATATGAATTGCTGAAATTGCTGAATTGCTCAAGGTTAGACCAATAGGTTTTGAGTTATTCTTAATAACTTATATTGAAGTCGGCTGTACAAAGTTTTTTATTTTAAATTATATAAGTCAACATCTACAAACGATGCACTCTATAGATTTACGAAAAGGGCTCTGGTGACCGGCTCATGACAGACCATTTACCCGATTCATTTAAATATTGTTCTTCTTCTTAACGCCCGTAAAACTAAGGGGTGTCTTCAAGGTAACAATGAATAGGCTTTTAATCAGTGTGCTTTACCATCTTTGGCCGCATCACCATTTACCATCAGTTATGAAGCACTAGATTAAATAGAAAATTTATTTAAAATTAAAAATTTTGTACAGCCGACTTCAATATAAGTTATTAAGAATAACTCAATAACTATTGGTCTGATCTTGACAAAAAAAAACATAAATAATTATTTTGATTCAAATTTGAAATCGCGCATGCTCGCGGCAATAATGTCAGGACATTTTTATAGAAATCAGGCTTTTTGTCAGGATTTTCCGGTAACCCACCTGGTAAGCCTAAGTACGCAGTCGCATACTTACGCCGTTGCCTGTCGCAGATCTGGATGTGAAATATCCATCTGGGTCCGGCTTAAACGAGATAGATACAGCATACAGCAACAGTGATATTATTATCTTAGTTAATATTTAGGTATAAATACATTCTGAAGTAATAGCCATTTTAAAATTTATTGTTTAGTTTATATATCCTTATCATCCATGGAATTCAACTGCGATTACCAAATTATTATATATTTATAACTTAATGCTACATATTCTGATAAATGAAAATAAATTTTGTATATTTTCAAACGACTTGAAAAATAGGAGGAGGTTCCCAAATCGACTGTATTTTTTATGTGTTGTGTTACCTCAGAACGTTTTTCTTGCTGAAACTATTTTGATGATTCTTTGTTATTTGAAAGCTGGTGCTTCTTATGTGGTCCCATATAAATTTGATCAAGATCTAATGTTTATGTGAGAGTTTTTGAATTATCCTTAATAATGCGTATTTAATTGACTTCGACTACATTGATGATGTTCTCATTTTATTTATATTGAACTCAGTGGTACAAAATTTTTAATTTTACTACTTGTTTGTTAAATATTTTCTTATATTCCGCCCCCCTTCTTCTTGACAACTTCGAAAGGCGTTTATGCCCCAAAAACATTTTTAGATATTTTAATGATAAGGTAGTTTGCTGTGAGGTGGCAGGGTAAGAATCCATCACCCTGTTCCGTCTCCTGTGTGTAGTAAAAGGAGACTGGGAAATAGCAGAAATTTCACAGCTGCCAATAGATGGTAGTGTACCATCTTGTTTCGGCCTGTTTACACGTGGTAGAGCCATGCTGCAGCTATATTACTGGTATAGTTGTAGCACGAATGGGTCGTCTCGACCGGGGAAGGATCACGCTCTCCCAGAATACCAGCGTAAAATAGCAGCTTAACGCTGCTGTGTTTCGTATGGTGAGGGTAGAGAACCAGACACCCTTTTTACTGGAGAAGAGGCATTCCATCTCAGTCCTCACGGGTGACAACGCATCTGCAATTTGATTCTTTATTGAGGATAGATGTAGATGTCTATGTGTCACAGCAACCACCTACCATCAGATGAACTGTGTGCTCGTTTGTCACCATGTCCTATAAAAAAAAAACGTATAATACCCAGAGCGGCGAAGTGCGTCAAACACGCTAGACGTCTGGTACTGTGACGACTGAAGAGGCACATGTCTAGCAATGGAATTTTACGTTTTATAGAAGAAGAAGGCTCCGGGGTTGATAACACACAAGCCTTACTTGTTTTGCTTAGGCTCTAGATGTACGTAAATTTAATTGATTATTAAATTTACGTACCGTACGTATCATGTTATATGTTGAAAGTTAAACCTGGCAAATGATAAAACAGTCGTTCCTATGTTAAAGTTTAATTTCAAATTTAATTTTGCCGTGAATATCTATCGTTTTATACGTCAAAAGTTTATATGTAGTAGCGTTATGCTGTAATTGTATTATAACTGCATCATGATTAGGTTGCCAGACCGGGGAAGGGGCACGCTTCCAAATAATACCAACATAAAGTAGGAGCACAATGTTGCCGTCATGCATGCGAAGTGACGATAACCGGAGACCCTTTTTTATATGTAACGAGGCATTCCAGATTAGTCTTTAGGGATGACAATAAATCTGCATTTTGATTGTTGGCACGGGATAAGTGCATACCTACATCAATTGACTGTCACGAGGATTTTGTGCTGATTCGTTACTCTCACCAACAACTATAACCTCAACGTATAAGAACCAAGCGTGTTCATTTGTTCTTTTGAAATAAGTCTTTAAATTATTTTTATTTAGGATAAGGCGATAGACGAGCACACAGTCCACTTGTAAGCTGATCCTGTTGCCCATAGACATCTGCTTCCATCCTCTATTAAGAATTAGAATGTAGATGCGTTATCACCGTTGACCACTAAGATAGAATGACTCGTTAAAAGTAAAGACGGTCTCCGGTTATTGTTACATTATAGACATCAACATAATGCTGATATTTTACGCTGTGTAACATTTTTCCAACAACTATAATATAGCTACAAACATTCATATCCTTACTTTTATATTTTTAACCGACTTTAAAAAACTGTCTTCAAGGCAAGAGTGTTAATATTAAATAAAAGCCTATTTAATATTAACACTCTTGCCTTGAAGACAGTTTTTTAAAGTCGGTAAAAAATATAAAAGTAATAAAAAATTGGATTTTGTTACGCTTTTGTTAAGACAGTGCGATTTATCATCTAAGGCTGCATGATGCAGCCACTTACCACCAGGTGGGATTGTGGTCAAGCATTGGCTTATAATAAGTAAAAAAGGAGGAGGTTCACATTTCAAGTGTATGTTTTTTTTGTATGTATCTTACGCGATATCTTTGTAGATTGTGAACCAATTTTGACGATTCTTCTTTTATTAAATAGGTTGTATTGCAAGGGTGGTCCAATATAAAAAATTCCATCCCTAAGGGTAGCAAATAAATAACTGCTTTTTTAACAATTTAAACTCGGTTTTTACATTAGGTTAATTATTATTACACGTGACCTACAATAGGCAAGAGCGTTAAGCAACGAGACCTATTACAATTACTGAATCTTTAAGCATCCATGTAATCTGGACAGTAGAATTTAGTAGCACCAGTTGGCTAATATTTAAGGATAAATCGATAAGGATGATCGCGAAACTCTAGACTCAGGTTTGAATCCGCCATGCCACTGCCGTCGTGAACAACTTCTTTTATAATATAATATCATAATCATTTACTCTTTTATAATGATATAAATACTGCTTACGTTCGTTATTATTTCAATAAAAAATAAATAAATCTCCTTTACAACATACACCATTACCAGATGACCAAAGAAGCGACAGCAAAGGGTGAAAGACAACTGCTGCGAGAAGCGCGCGCCAAATTTGTCGAGAGGTTTGGTCGTGAGCCCGTTGCCGCAGCGAGCGCGCCTGGAAGAGTCAACCTTATCGGAGAACATGTTGATTATTGCGAGGGGTTCGTCCTGCCTGTGGTTTGTGTTTAATTTTTTTTAAATTGAAATGGCAAACGATTTTACAGTCCACCTGATTATAAGTGACTACTGCAGCCTATTGACACTTGCAACCAATTTCAAACATAGATAAGTTATCACATCTGAAGACTAAGATGTAATGCTTCCATCCAGTAATAATGCTGGTTCTCTATATCCTTCAGACAAGAACAAGTATGACAACAAAATAAGTATTATACGTGATAGAGCCATGCTGCAGCTATATTAGTTCTACCAGACCACGCTCTCACAGAATACCAGCGTGAAATAGCAGCTTAACACTGCTGTGTTTCGTTTGGTGAGTGTAGAGAACCGGAGACCCTTTTTACTGGAAAAGAGGCATTCCATCTTAGTCCTCACGGGTGACAACGCATCTGCATTTTGATTCGCATACGAGGATAAATTTAGATGTCTATGGGCCACAGCAACCACTTACCATCAGGTGGACTGTGTGCTCGTATTTCACCCTATTCTATATAAAAAACACACCAGTGCATACATATGCAGATAGAGAGATAGTATCTATACTTCTGACCGGAATATAGGAGTCCACTGTAACTGCTTTGCGGCAGAAATAAATTCCTAGATAAAAAATAAGGCACGAATATAATTTTTTTATGTTTTCTATCATGATTTTCTGTTAACTGTCAAAATCTCCAGCGAGCTTATCATTTGAGCTACAACGGCTAAGAAATGAGAGGAGGCCTGTACCCAGCAGTGGGACGTATATGGGCTGTAACTTTAACTGTTAACAGTGTGTTGGTGACCGTGTAGTGGCGGTGTAAGAATATCCACTACCACATAATTTCCCGTGAATGTCGTAAGAGGCGACAGAGGGAAACAAACAGGAGATGGGCAGCAGCGTCTTCCTCATAACAGCTCAAAATTATAAAAAAAAATATGCGTGAGTGTCGTGGAACACTCGGTTTGAACGAAGTTCCTTTCATTGTATATTATTATTGATAAACTTAATATATTATATTGATAAACAAAGACAAATAAATGAATTACTAGCGTCTATTAAAATGAAGCGTCATTTAAAATAATATTTCTTTCATGGCAAGATAAAAAGTGCGAGGGAGATGGATATTATTCCATTTCGCTCGCACTATAGAAAGGATCCTGACGGAAAAAATCTTACAGTTTTTCTGTACTAAACTACGGTTGCCAAGCGTCTGCCAAGCATGGCGACTGTGGACCCCCCCTCCCATGGGACAATCTATAGGGGAGGTCTATGGTCATCAGTGGAAATTTATAGGCTGTGATGGTGATCTGAAGTCTAATGTGTAATGATGTAATACCTAACAATCAGTAATTATACTGGTTCTCTATATCCTCCTTCTGGACCTTGACAACAGCGCCGGATCAAATTAAGTTTTTAAACCATCTAGGGGCTCACTCAAACACACACAAAAATTTCATCAAAATCGGTCGAGCTATTTTCGAGTTTTGCGAGACTAATGGAGCAAGTCCCCCGTGTAGTGGCGGGTAAGAATACCCACTACCCCATATCTTTACGTGGGTGACGTAAGAGGCGATAGAGGGAAATTGAGACAGAGGATGGGCAGCAGCATCTTTCTGATAACAGCAAATTACAATAAAAAACAGCGATTGCCAACCCGCTCGCCAAGCGTGGCACTTATGGAAATATACATACCATGACGAGAGTTACAAAAAGACAGACCGCAGTCCCCGGCAGCCCCGCTATTCCTGGCTACGGTGGCGACCATGGTAACGGCGGGGCAGGGGGTGCTAAGAATCTCCGGTGGAGCCTCGGTTTCTCCCCAAGACGACTCGACCTGGCAACATACAACGCACGCCCCCTTAGGACTGACGAGAAGATCCTGGAGCTGGAAGAAGAGATAAACAAGTTGCGCTGGGGTATTATAGGGTTATCTGAGGTCCGAAGAGAGGGGGAGGACACGGTAATCCTCGAATCCGGCAACTTGTTCTATCATCGGGAGTGCCACCAGCTGTCCCAAGGAGGTGTCGGATTTATCGTCCACAAGTCTCTCGTTAACAACGTGATTGTGAGTGTGTCGACGAGGGAGGAGGGGAGGGACAGAATCACCAAACGGTATTCATTGAAGGTTATACAGGTTTACGCACCAACCTCGGCACACCCCGATGAGGAGGTGGAGGAAATGTATGAGGATATCTCTAGAGCCATGCATTCCTCCAAAACCCAATATACGGTGTTAATGGGAGACTTCAACGCAAAACTAGGCACAAGAGAGAACGGTGAGCTGAAAGTAGGGAAATTTGGAATAGGGCAACGGAACCCAAGGGGCCAGCAGCTGGCCGACTTCATGGAGAAAGAGGGACTCTTTATGATGAACTCTTTCTTCCAGAAGCGGCCCCACAGGAAGTGGACCTGGTCGAGCCCCGATGTTCGACAAAAAATGAGATTGACTTCATTATGACGACCAGACGACAACTGTTCAGTGATGTCTCAGTGATCGCGAGGGTGAAAACTGGTAGCGATCACCGAATGGTTAGAGGCACACTGAATCTAAACGTTAAGTTGGAGAGGTCTCGTCTAATGAAGTCAACGCTCCGTCCCCCTCGTGCTCTAATACAAAGTCTCAAAGCCTTTCAGCTTAAGTTACAAAACCGTTTTCAGTGCCTAGAAGATTGCAATGCAGTGCACGATATGAATGACAAGCTCGTGGAAACTGTCTATGTAGTCGGAGCTAAGTTTTGCAAATCCCGCCGCACAGAACACTCTCCGATCATACTCTTAATCTCATGACTGTTAGACGGGAAATGAAGCTGCAGTCTTACAGTAGATTTGATACCATACAACTTTAATACTGCTCGTACTGAAGGAGCGATCGAGCGGAACCAGGGCTCCAAAGTCTTTGCCAGATATCTGTCTGCCAGAAAGAGCCAACTGTCGAAGCTGAAGACCGCATGTGGTAGCATTGTTTCCGGGATTCCTGAGATTTTGAATGACATTGAGAGGTTCTATGGGTAGCTGTACACGTCATCGTACATCGTACATGGAGCCACATGCAAGTGTGAATAACGATCCAAGAGCAAGTCTTATCCGACGTCATATATAGATATCCCAGACGTCAGTCTGAGCAAGATTCGAATGGCTCTTCAGCATCTTAAAAACGGAAAGTCCCCGGGCGAAGATGGAATTACTTTTGAAATCGGGTGGAAAACCGGTACTTGAAGTCCTTTAGAAGATCTTTAACTCCGTCCTCCATGGTGGCACTACTCCGGAGGCGTGGAGCAGAAGTACGGTGGTCTTGTTCTTCAAGAAAGGTGACAACGCTCTCTTGAAGAACTACAGACCGATTTCCCTTCTGAGCCGCGTCTACGTGCTGTTTTCGAGAGTCATTACGAATCGTCTCGCGCGCAGACTTGACGACTTCCAGCCTCCCGAACAAGCCGGTTTCCGAAAGGGCTTTAGCACCATAGACCACATACATACCCTTCGGCAAATTGTACAGAAGTCCGAAGAGTACAATTTGTCACTATGTCTGGACTATGAGAAAGCCTTTGATTCCGTCGAAATTTGGGCGGTACTGCAGTCCCTCCAGCGGTGCAAAGTTGACTGTTGGTATATCGAAGTGCTGAAATGTTTGTACAGTGGGACTACGATGGCTATTCGAGTACAGAACCAGAGTATGAAACCTAAGCAACTGCAGAAAGGTGTAAGACAGGGTGACGTTATATCCCCGAAACTCTTCACCGCTGCATTGGAAGACGTTTTCAAGCTACTGGACTGCAAAGGATACGGTATTAACATCAATCACGAGTACATCACTCACCTTCGATTTGCCGACGATATAGTCCTTATGGCATAATCGTTGTAGGACCTAAGTACTATGCTCAATGACCTCAATAGCGCTTCCCAACGGATAGGTCTTAAGATGAACATGGCAAAACAAAGATCATGTTTAATGTCCATGTCACACCTATACCGATAGATGTTGGGAGCACTACTCGAAGTTGTTGACGAGTATGTTTACCTGGGACAAATAGTCTGACTAGGTAAGTCCAATTTCGAGCGAGAGGTCAATCACCGGGAAGCAACGACAAAGATGCGAGAAGTCCTAGTGTAATCGGCAATCCACCTGTCAAGCTTGCCAATTACATCAAGCCTTCTCTGGGAGAGCTCGATGTTCAGGCAGTGACTGTTTCCTGGCTGTTTGATGATGGAGGTAGAACGAAAAACCAGCCGTTGCGAAATAGAAAGACAAGCAACAACACAGTTCATCTGATGGTAAGTGGATGCTGTGGCCTATAGACATCTCCATGTATCCTTGAATAAGTAAAAATTAGAATTAAAATAGTAGATGAAGATAAGTAGACTAAGCTGAAATGCCTCCTTTCCGGCAAAAAGGGTCTCCGGTTCTTTACACTCGCACGAATCAAAGCAGCTTTGAACTGCATTTTTTACGCTGATATTCTGTAAGAGCGTGCTCTTGCCACGGTCGGCTCGACCACGCCGACCCATTTGTACTACAACCATATAACTGTACAAAATTTATGACTCCTGACTTAAACTTAATAAACGGATTTAATAATACTTAATTAGAAGACAGAGTAAAATTTGGTTTCTATTTTGTGATTGATTTTACTTGTCATTAAATTTTGGCTGATTGATTAGAAAGTCGTAATCAATACCGTCCATTTTGTAATAATTACTTTGAGTTTCTTAATCACTTATTGTTAATTACTTAAAATTTATGAGCGGCTGCTTCAAAACTTATTAGAATGCGAACAATCAATTTTCAACCCCCGTCGGTACCAATGAAATTGTTAATTGCGTGCTTGGCGGTTAAATATAAAGACAACATAGTGAGGAAACCTGCATGGCTAAGAAAGAAGAAAAGACTTTCGATAACAAAATGTTTTAATTAATCAAGAAAATATTTTTATATCCATGAAACTTTCAATTGTACCACTCATTTGAAACATCCTTTTTTAAGTCCACTGCTGAACCCTTCCCTGTAGATAGTCTCATAGAGCAGATATTTAGAGGGATATTTGCCATATTTGCCACGCGCTGGGCAAGTGGGTTGGCAACTGGAGATTTTTAATTTTATATCTCTAACTAACCGCATACTAGTATATTAAACTAAATACCAATATAAAAATTTCCTTCGACAGGCACTTCCCTTCATAACTCTGGTAGTTGGCAGTTACAACAACAAAGAAGAATGTAACATTCTCTCAGTCCTCGCTGATGGACAGGAACTGAGGACCAGCTTTCCTACACCATCCGTTGTTCCATTGAAACCGGGATCGCCTGCCTGGGCCAATTACGTTAAGGGCGTTGTAGCCAACTTCCCTGGTAAGCATATATATATTACGATGAATGTTGGATAAAATGTTTGAATGTTAAATGTTTAGTTGTTAGAGTCTTTATGTTCGAATTCTGTAGGGACAATAACTATTGCATTACTTTTGGGCCCCTCACTCAAGATGCTACGCTAAAGAAACTTACTTTTTATAGGATATGGTGACAAGCGAGCACACAGTCCACCTGATGGTACGTGGTTGCTGTGGCCCATAGACATCTACATTTATCCTCGTTTGCGAATCAAAATGCAGATGCGTTGTCACCCGTGCGGACTAAGATGGAATGCCTCTTTTCCAGTGAAAAGGGTCTCCGGTTCTCTACACTCACCATACGAAACACAGCAGTGTTAAGCTGCTATTTTACGCTGGTATTTTGTGAGAGCGTGGTCCTTCCCCGGTCGAGCCGACCCATTCGTGCTACAACTATACTATCCACTAATATGGCTGCAGCATGGCTCTACCACGTATAAGTAAAACTAGTTACAAACTCTAATTATTAATGAGTTACTAGAACTTCACCAGGCTTGTATTTCAGTAGTGGTCCACTCATAGCTCACTCTGTCATGAATGGCAATTTTTTTTTTGGAGTTTATGGCCTGGTATCTAGACCTTTAGGCCAAGTCTTAAGTATTTTTATTCGGTTTATTGTAATTTCCCCACTCCTTCATAGTATACTGCTTCACAATATGTTGATGCGTCACATTGTGCAGTTCTTGGGAGATTTTGGCGGCAACTTGATCCAGCAGACAGCTGATAGTTGGCGATGGTATCTAAAGGTGCCTATGCAAACAAACAGCTTATCTTGAGAATCCATCACCATCAGAGCACTTGTTTCACTGTTTCCACTAATAGTTCACATGCGTAGACACTTAATACACAAAATCGCAACACTTTTACATATCAAAGTCCACTTCAAACCATTATTTAAACAATAATACAGGAGCAGCAAACCGCCGCCGGTCAATTTCCCGCCAAAACTTTCCATGAATGGCTAACAAACACGTTTGTGTTGCCATAAATGCGTTTATTTCTCGCATACGATATTTTAGTTGCGTGCTTCTGGTTGGAAACCATAGTAACCCTAATTCATCAGTGCCTGGTAATGAAAATTACGATTGATCAATTATTTTATATAAACTTTATCGAAGACGCAGAAAACCATCTTTGTTTTTATAATTATAAGTTAAAGGGATGTTCGCATTTGGATGTACGTCGGGAAAGCAGTAAAAATTAGAAGTGATTAGCGATGAAATAAGTTATCTGTAGTTGTGAGAACTGCGAACATTTAAATAGTAATCTTAAATGAATAAAAAACTATATTGAATACCGAATAGTAATACTGGATCAATTGATATTATATATTTCAATGTAAATTCAACTTGGTTAATATGGACAATGTTGCTTGAGAAAATCAATAATTTTAATGAGATATTATTTGTATGTACTTAATTTAAGCTGGTAAGCGTTATGGATGGATATTTTTGTTAGCTTTTAAGATACTTAAAGACTAAGATGGAACACCTCGTTACCGGTAAAAAGCGTCTCCGGAAAAAAAAAACTGTACCTATACGAGTGGTAAAATTTAAAATTTTACACAACCGACTTCAATATAAATTATTAAGTATAACTCAAAAACTACTGGTCAGACCTTGATCAAAGTTATATGGGACCACATGAGAAGCACCTTCTTTCAAATAAAAAAAAAATAACCCTAATTTTTTTCTTAAAATAAAAAAAAGCCTTAGTTATTCCTTATAACATCAGCTATCTGCCAGTGAAAGTCCCGTCAAATCGGTCCAGTCAGTTTACAGATTAGCCGGAACAAACCGACAAACAGATTGATTGACAAACAAACAGATCGACAGGCAGACAAAAATTAAACAAAAAATGTTTTTTGTTATAAGTTCTTATATACTTTCATATGCATTTAGCAAAAAGCTGTTATTTTGACATTATAAACAGAGACTTAGATTATTTTACTTTAGATTTATTTATTTGTACATAGATGTATAGATGACATTTTATGCAATTTTGTTCAATGTTGCTTCATTGTGATTTCGATAAGTTATTCACATAAATTACAGTAATGTTTACTTTTAGTTATCAATAAATTTATCAAATTGTGAAATAAATATTATTTTCTTTCTTTGCTCGTAATAAATCAAGGCTATGACGACGTGGTAGAACGGTGGTATAGTTGTCGATCGGGGAAGGACCACGCTCTCACAGAATACCAACGTAAAATAACAGCTTAATGCTGCTGTGTTTCGTATGATGAGTGTAGAGAACCGGAGACCCTTTTTACTGTTAACGAGGCAATCCACCTTCGTCCTCAGTGGTGATAACGCATCTGATTTTTGATTCTTAATCGAGTATAGATGTATAAGTCTATGGGCCACAGCATCCATTTACCGTCAGGTGAACTGTGTGATCGTTTGTCGCCTTTAATCTATAAAAAAAACTGTTGAAAACCACGAACATGGCATAACCCATAGAGTCTTTTGCCACTACCATACGACATTTTTATTGATGATTTGAAAACGTTTTTCTCAAGGAACGTTACGTGGTTTCGACGCTGTGATAGTCTCCGATGTTCCAATGGGGTCCGGAGTGTCTAGCAGTGCATCTTTAGAAGTTGCTGTATTTACTTTTCTAGAGGCATTAACTGGCGTTCAAGTTGAGTAAGTATTTGAATATTTTTCGTACTATTGAATGAAAGTTGTATCGTGTTTGGTTACAGCGATGTAACGTCTGTCTTGTCCAGAGGCGTATTAAATGTCGACAGCGCCTTAGGCTAACACCTCGTCGGCGCTGCTCTGGCGGTCATATATTATTGATTATAACTATTTATTTTGAAAATAAACTTAATTTATAATACAGTTTAGTTTCAAAATAATTAGGATATTTGTAGCCTTGACATTAGAATATTTGTAGCCTTAACAGATTGGGTGTGAATGAAAAATGTGATAGGAGAGTGAGGGCGATGTAGGCGACTTGAGCGCGCGCCCCTTTTTTGAATTTGCGTCCCTAGGTACGTGTATGTGCCTTAAGGATAATAACATGCAGTGTAAACAGCATACAACAATGTCCTAGCGCCGACTTCAGAAGCCATAATTTGGAAATTATTTTAGTTTTAGAAGTATGTATTACTTTTTATTAAAGGTTGTTCATTAATATTAATTTATATCTGTAGCTTATTTTTGCTATTTTAGAACAGTAGTTTTTAACATACAGAAAAACATTGCTAAAAAAGAAGTTATTTATTTGCTATCCTTCGGGGTTTTCTCTAAATTAAAAGGGACTATCCTTGAAGTATAACCTATTTAATAAAAACAGAATCATAAAAATCGGTCCTCAATCTGCGAAGATATCATATGAAAATCCTTAAGCAATAGTCCAATATGAAACTTTTTCCCCTATTTTCCAACATTGGGGTTGGAATTTATTTTCCAAATTTATATTGGGATACCTTTAAAATATAACCTATTTAATAATAAAAAAAGAATCATCAAAATCGATTCACAATCTGCGAAGATATCACGTAACATACATACAAAAAAAAACATACACTCGAATTGTGTCGGTCCTCTTTGAAGTCGGTTAAAACAAATGTTATTGGTGTTATTTGTGTCCTTTTTAAATCGGCTTCAAAAAGGAGGAGGTATTCAATTCGAAGGTATGTTTTTTGTTGTTGTATGTAGGTATGTTATATCTTCGCAGATTGTGAACCAATTTTGATGATTCTTTTGGAGAAAAAGTTTCACCCTTCTTCTTGAAAAAACATAAAGAAGAGCAAATCAATAAATTCTTTCTTAGCAAGTTGAAGTTGGTTTTTACTTTTTGTTAAAAGTTATAATTAATAGAATCAGGCGTTACTTTGCGGAAATCCATTATATTAAAGTTGGCAAAAATTACCTCGCGTACATCCGCTCGATAAAATAAAATGATGTGTCTTACCTAGTTTGAAGAGTATCACCGGCCCTCCCTCAATTGCGTGCACTATCCCCGCCTAATCCCAGCGCCACTACTCCCAACACCACTACACTAGAAAAGACACACCACTGACTACAATACGACACGTGTTTCGCCTCTACGCGAGGCATCTTCAGGTGACGTAGACTTTGCGGTGGCTGACCGCTCGGATGTGCGCGAGGTAATTTTTACCAACTTTAAAGTTAATTTTTCGAAATTTATCCGAGTATTGCGTCTATTTATCAAGCGACTTCAAAAAAGGAGGAGGTTCTCAATTCGTTGGAATCTTTTTTTTTATATATGCTCAACGATTACTCGAAGAAGCTTGAACCGATTTGGGAAATTCTTTTTTCCCTAATCAGGTGTATTTCCCAGGAGGTCCCATTTAAATTTTATCGAAATAGGTTGAGCGGTTTAAAAAAATCAAAAATATATTATTTATATCGAAGTCGGTTGTACAAAAATTTTAATTTTTCCACTTGTATGAGTCGACTCGTGGTCTGTTAATGGTTTGAGAAAGGACGAATGTTTATTGACTCCGAGTTCATTATATCAACATTCTGTGTTTTATGTTAATATTAGTTGAAAGACAAATCAAAGGCTTTGAATTGATTTTTGCTATCGTTTAATTTCTATTCAATTACCGACTCTGTCAATATCAAGTAAAGCATAATTAAGAAATTTCACGGATTCAAAAAAGCGAGTCCCAATGCAAATTAATTTTAATTTGGGTTATCATGTAAAGTTTTAAAACTTTGTCACTCGCATATTTTAACTTATATCTATAGTTGATAATAATATTAATAATGTACTCCAGACCGAATTTCTTATTTCGAAAGTGACTAGCCATCTGCATAGGTTAGACTTATGGTGCCCGAGTGTATGCGCAAGCACAGGTGCAATCTCTGTTCCCTCACTCTCATATATATATTCCCATACACTATATATATATATATATATATATATATATATATATATATGTATACACAGAGAATCCTCATCTCACAGAATACCAGCATAAAATAGCGTCTCTATGCTGCTGTGTTGCATATGGTGAATGTTGGTAAAAAACCGGAGATCCTTTTTACTGGAAACGAGGCAATCCATCTTAGTCCTCAGGGGTGACAACGTATCCACATTTTGATTCTAAATCGAGGATAGATGTAGATGTCTATGGGCTACAGCATCCACTTACCATCAGGTGGGCTGTGTACTCGCTTATCACCTTTATCTCTATATATAAAAATCAATTACTGTCAGTCTCTCGACTCCACAGAGTCAGTAATTCATTCTTGGGACAATATATACGCTATTACAACAAAGTCCAAGAAAATGTACAAGGTCGCTCTATTACCAAGTATAAATATTTAATTAAAATAAAACTGTATAAAAGAGGTTATTATGATATAAATGAATACATGGTTGGTAATAACCCCTGGGCATCAGGTGGTCGCTTCCAAGCAGTTTATAAAATAAATTTTGTAAATAGTAATTGTTTACGCCCGAACGCTGATTTCGGGATTGACGTCAGAGGGCGCTCGGCTCGGCGCCATACCGGTTTTGACGTTCGGTCGAGCGATGTGTCGAGGGCGCGCGAGCACACGAGTCGTCTGCCAGCTGTGCTAACGTCAGCACGCTGTCAATTTTTGTGCGGGAACCGCGGAATAGTTAGGCGTCTAGTAAATATCCTGTCTAGGATTTGTAACGCGCATTCCTTGTTGGATAGCCTTTCCCGGGACTTATTGGGTCCGACTCAGAATCTGTATAAGTGCATTCGACAATATTAGCTAGTGCGGCCTTTGATATTCTAGAAATAACTGTTGCTACACGAAACGGTAGTGACCTTTGATCCGGACACTCCGTGTTCGTTTTTGTGTGTTAAGCTTTATAACAAACGAGAGTTAGTGGCTTCTGTAAGTTAGTTAATCGTACGATAGAGTTAATGGACTGTCATCGTGACGAATGAAGAAAGTGACTGTGGACGGCGCCGCGGAAGATTACCTCAATTTGGAGCGGTGCTGACGTCCGGGCTGCTGCCGACGGCAAAGGTCTAATAAGGTCAATCACCACCAGTCACACCCAGATACACATCACAGCACCTTATTTCCCTTGCACCACACAACCACATGCGACCTGAACGAATCCTGAGGGACCAGTCGCCTTGGATATAGGTAAGTAAGCTCCGTTTAATATTCTTCCTGTTGAATGGCAGTAGTATAGAACGCTCCCCCTTATTGTTTAGTGTAGTTAGAGAAATTCCACGCGGCCATATTGTGGCCCCGTCCCTCTGCTGCCCGTCGATGGGATTACTTATGGGCCCTAATCCCGTCATCCTTTGTTGGGACAGCTAGCGGCGTGTACAGTAATAATTATATTGTAAAATTTACTTAAAAAAAGTCTCGCTGGGTTTCTTTCTGGTTCTTCCCAGGACAGAGGATTTTTTTCGAACCAGTGGTAATGTAAAAAAAATTCTTTCAATAGGAATTACTTGTAATCAATATTGAATAAAAATTATTCTATTCTATTCTAGTAGGTTGCCGTCACCTTTCACCTAATCACCAATTATAAAATCACTATCTTTACTGTTTTGCAGCCCGGTAAAAAAGGCGTTGTTGTGTCAAAAAGCAGAGCATGAGTTTCCCGGCATGCCTTGCGGGATAATGGACCAGTACATTGTTACTCTTGGACAGAAAGACCACGCGTTACTCATCGACTGCAGGTGGGTGCAGATCATAGATTAAGTATAATTTTTTTTATAGAATAAGGGTAACAAACGGGCACGCAGTCCACCTAATGGTAAGTAGATGCTGTGGCCCATAGACATCTACAATTATCATCAATTTAGAATAGAAATGCAGATGCGTTGTCACCCCTGAGGACTGAGATGGAATGTCTCGTTTCCAGTAAAAAGGGTCTCCCGTTCTCTACACTCACCATACAAAACACAGCAGCATTAAGCTGCTATTTTACGCTGGTATTCTGTGAGAGCGTGGTCCTACCCCGGTCGAACCGACCCATTCGTGCTACAACTATGATATAGCTACAGCATGGCTCTACCACGTAGTGTTTTTAATAAACTGACGTTGAAACTACACTATATCTATCATCATCATCATCATTACAGCCTTTCATAAGTCCACTGCTGAACATAGGCCTCCCCCAAGGAATGCCACAAAGCACGGTCCTGAGCCACCTGCATCCATCGACTTCCTGCATGTCTTACCAGGTCGTCACTCCATCTCGTAGGGGGTCGCCCTACACTTCGCCTACCGGTACGAGGCTGCCACTCAAGAACCTTATGGTGCTCTACACTATATCTATGTTGCATATTAATTTGCGAATAAAATCATTAATTTCAATTATTGTATGCATTAGACGTTAGTGCCCTATATCAGCCGAGCGATATCATCTAGTGTTACTGTTGATATTAATATTTATCAAATTTGCGTCAAGTGTTAAGCGTATTAGTTTGCAATTACAAATTGCCCACGAGGCGAATCGATTATGGCCAACCTTGAACGTGGTTCAATTGGGTGGTTGGCACCATTGACCTATAAAATATTACTTTTAAATTATTAAACATTAATCTTAATTATCTAATATTAATCTTATCAAAAATATGATACAAAATCGTCTTGTCTGACTTTACTAAAGTAGTTTTTGCATGTTTTCAGAATATAGTATGGCATTTTGGACGTGTATTAAGTCAGTCGACAAAACGAAGATAGGCGCGCGATTGGAACTCTTTTTGCGTTTTGGAACTCTTTTGGCTCGGACACTTTTGAGCGCATGCACGAGATCCATTTAGTAGTAGTTCAATGGTTGACACAATCATTAATAAATTACTACATCATATAAGTAGAATTAGAAAAGCTCAAGGTCGCTCAGCGAGCTATGGAGAGGGCTATGCTCGGAGTTTCTCTGCGTGATAAACTTAGGAATGAGGATATCCGCAGTAGAACCAGAGTAACCGACATAGCCCAACGGATTAGTAAGCTGAAGTGGCAGTGGGCCGGCCATATAGCTCGAAGAACCGACAACCGATGGGGAAGAAAGGTTCTCGAGTGGCAGCCTCGTACCGGTAGGCGAAGTGTAGGGCGTCCCCCCACGAGATGGAGTGACGACCTGGTAAGACATGCAGGAAGTCGATGGATGCAGGAGGCTCAGGACCGTGCTTTGTGGCATTCTTTGGGGGAGGCCTATGTTCAGCAGTGGACTTGTGAAGGGCTGTAATGAATGAATGAATGAATAAGTAGAATTTGATATATTTTTTACTATTATAAGCCAATGCTTGACTACTGTCCCACCTGATGGTAAACAGGTAAAGATGGTAGAGACGCTGAATTAGCTTATCAAAAGCCTATTCGGATGGAAAGAGAGATGCTGGCAAATATTTCACTATTTCGTTGTACGCATTATGCGAATGACGAAGCAAATAATTTGGTTCGAATGCGTAGTATGTCGACAAGAAAAGGGTAGAGCTGAGCCAGCCGAGCGTCTGCACATTTAATAGTAGTGTTTTAAAATTTGGACAATGTTCTATGTCAAGTTAAATTAGAGTTTTGGTACTTAAAAAAATATACAAATAAGATAATTATTTGCCTGTAAAAACTATAACGTTATTATATATTAACTATAAGTATTTAAATTGACTAGTGTCATAAAGGGTTATTTTGCAATAACCGGCCAAATTTGCAGAGAAGGTTCAGAATAAGTAATAAAACAAATGGTGAAGAAAAAGTAATTAAAAAAATCTCAAACATTCTGTCCTTTTTATTTTTTTTTAAATTTAAAATGGCATGGTAATGCATTATTATAATTGATTTTACTGCGCACGCACACATTTTTAAGGGTCGATTGGTAGGCAAAAACGTTGTTGCCCACAAATCACATTCAATTTGGGATAATTTCAAATAAAAGTAGAAGCCTCATTTACTCGTATTTTCAAAAACTGCATTAACGGAATATCATTATTTATATATTTGAACTTTTGAAAATTTGGCTACTCTTTGAGAAATTACCTTGTGTAAATATAAATGTACCTTGTACCTTGTATAAATGCCTAATATTAGCTTTTAATATGCTGAAGATCTTTAATAATTAAAAATTAATACTATAAGTTCACTCGGCGTAGATCGAACTAAAAATAATAATTAATACCAAATGTCAAAACGTTGATCACGGTCCCCCGGTGATCATTGTTGTTGCCGGGTGCTCGAAACGTTCGGAACTAAAAATAATCGTAAATTTACGACCTTAAAATCCGTAAAAGTCTTTTTATTCAATATGTATGTTACATACCAACGTTATGTTTTGGTATGTAACGTATCTGATCATCATGGTATGAGTTTCGCCTGGGTAGGATCTATTGAAACGCCACTATTACCTACATTATTCAGATTTAAGACTAGCTGTTCCCCGCGACTCCGCCTGCGTGGAATTACAATTGGGTTTTATGGGTTTTAATTTTTTCCGCGGAACTCTAATTCTTTTTTTAGAATAAAAGAAGCTTAAGTTACTCCTTATAACATATAGCTATCTGCCAGTGAAAGTCCCGTCAAAATCGGTCCAGCCGTTTCGGAGATTAGCCGGAACAAGCAGACAGACAGCAGACAGACAAAAATTTTAAAACTTGTGTGATTGTTATAAGCACCGTATACACTATAATAATGCTATATTTATAGTACAGTTGTAGCACGAATGGGTCGGCTCGACCGGGGAAGGACCGCACTCTCACAGAATACCAACGTAAAATAGCAGCTTAACACTGTGTGGCTGTGTTTCGCATGGCGTGTACAGAGAACAGGAGACCTTTTTACTGAAAAAGAGGCATTCCATCTTAGTCCTCACGGGTGACAACGCATCTGCATTTTGATTCTTTACTGAGGATAGATATGGATGTCTATGGGTCACAGCAACCACTTACCATCAGGTGGACCGTGAGCTCGTTTGTCACTCTATCCTATAAATAAAATACACTTTCATATGCATTTAGTTAAAAGCTGTTATCTTGAAATTACGAACAGACACTTCAATTTTATTTATTTGTATAATATGTATGGAAGATAATCATAATACGCATTTTTTTTTTCAAATTATAGATTAATTAAAAAATCCAATTTATTGGATAAAATATAGCCTAGATCACTCCTGGCATTGTTCTTTTTATCTTTTCATGTAGTTTCATTTGAAACAGAAACAGAAACAGAAACTTTTTTATTCAATATAGGTTATAAATAATACTTATTGAAAGTCACTCTTTTGTTTAATTACCACTGGTTCGAAAAAATACCTCTGTCCTGGGAAGAACCAGCAAGAATCCCAGCGGGACTTTAAAAAAAAATAACAGCTTACAATCATGTATATTACACAAATTAACAACACAACAAATTAGAAATACGAGTAGCTTGATAGCGATCACCTCATTTCCAGGGGTTATCATCATCCATTACAATGCATTCAGCCATTCCAAAGATTAGTCGGACAGAGAGATAGACAGAAATTTAAAAAAAATGGTCAATCACGTCTTAATGACATTCAAGTAACCCCATCAGCTCAATAAAAGGCAGTAATTTCGATATTACAGACAGACACCTTAACTTTATTTATGTATATATAATTTACTTAATATTTTAGGTCGTTGGAAGCAACCCAGATACCTATTGAGACTAAGGACATAGTCATACTGGTGGTGAATTCGAATGTGAAGCACCAACTGACTGGCAGCGAGTACCCGCAGCGGCGGGCGCAGTGCCAGACAGCGGCTGAACAACTGTCGGTTCCTTCGCTGAGAAGTGCTAATGTAAAGGACTTGGAAAGTTAGTTTTGCTTATTTTTTTGTATCAGATAACTAATGCTTACCCTTTGAATAAAAATGTTTTTAATTAATCGCTTATAGTTATAAATAATTAGGTTAAAGCAAGAAGTGCAACTTCTTCGTATTAATAGAATGACCACTTTGAATTAAATTAAGCCGGCATGGTCCAAAATACATGATATTTTTATTTTACAAACATATCATTCGTAATCTATCCAAAATGTTATGACAGTCTATTGTTTGACTTTCAATTGTTTTTACATTCAGTATTTGAGGTAAAAATGCAGACCTCAAAATATAAAGTAATTTTTGAAAGCGGGTTCCAACGTGATTTCTTCGCTATTTATTGCTCCTTAATTACGCAAGACCTCACACTGCTCGACAAACCGTTTTAACAGTACAAGTTACAAACCAAACGCTATCCTCCGTACTCAACTACGTCCCAACCGATGTCTAATTTATTGCGATTTGAACAATTTTCTGCACGGAAAATTATTTGTAAGCGATGTAATCGATGGAGTCAAGGTTCCCAGACTTCTATTGCAAAGGCATATCCTATTAATCTGCAATCTTCCCTCGAGATAGCAGATTACTAGGAGCAGGAAATAGGAACTTGACAAACAAATTTAATGGACCAATTATGAAATGTTTATTAATTATCTGCTATTTATTGACTATCTGTTGACATTTTGTTAATAGACACTACTATTAAATATTATTATCCCGATATTTTATAGTTTTAAAAATTTGTATGATATTATAATAATGGCTGATTAAGCGGATGTTTAATTACAGAAATAGCCATAGTGAGGGTAAATACTTAGATTAAGTAACTATATTTTTATTATAATTTATTTGACATCTATTTACTTAGTATTACATTTAACAGTGGTAGAGCCACGCGGCAGCTTTTGCTGTCGCACGGATGGGCCGGCTCGAACCGGGGTGGTACCTCGACCTCACAGAATACCAGCGTGAAGTAGAGGTTTACCTCTGCGTTTCGCTTGGTGAGTGCAGGTGGCCGGAGGTCCTTTTTGCTGGAAATGAGGCATTCCATCTTAGTCCTCACGGGTGACAACGCATCTGCATTTTGATTTGTAATAGAGGATAGATGAAGATGCCTATAGGCCGCAGCAACCACTTATCATCAGGTGGATTGTGTGCTCGTTTGTCACCCTTATCTTATAAAAAAAATAGTAATAAAATTGAAGTGTCTGTCTGTACTATCGAAATAACTGGCTTATATTCAGGGGGCTATTTGCACGTTATTAAGATATTAACAACCATTCTTAACATTGTTGTGACACTTACAAACTACTGGTCACCAGCACCAGCTTTCAAATAAAAATATAATCATCAAAATCTGTTCATCTAAAACAGTTCTGAGGTAATACACATAAAAAAATACAGTCGATTTGAAAACCTTCTTTTTTTATAGGATAAGGGTGATAAGCGAGCACACAGTCCACCTGATGGTAAGCGGCTGCTGCAGCCCAAAGACATCTAACCTCGTTTGCGTATCAAAATGCAGATGCGTTGCCACCCGTGAGGACTAAGATGGAATGCCTCTTTTCCAGTAAAAAGGGTCTCCGGTTCTTTATACTCACCGTACGAAACACAGCAGTGATAAGCTGTTATTTTACGCTGTTATTCTGTGAGAGCGTGGTCCTTTCCCGGTCGAGCCGACCCATTCGTGCTACAACTATACAATTAATATAGCTGCAGCATGGCTCTACCACCTTTAAAACTTCCTTTTTTTGAAGTAGGTTAAAAAGATAGATAACCATTATAAATGAGTGTTTGTAAATCTTTGGTTTTAGAATTGGAACGCAACGGCTGCGAGGAGCTGGTATTCAAGCGCGCTACACATGTTGTAAATGAAATCCACAGAACGGAGGAGACAGCAAACTGCTTGAGACAGAAGGATTTTAAGAGAGTAAGAATGTGAAATTATTTAAATTTTTCGAATGGGTTAAACCGTGCAGTAGCGGTGTAAGAATATCCACTAACTCTTATCGTCCCGTGGGTGTCGTAAGAGGTGATAGAGGGAAACTAAAACTGAAGATGGGCAGCAGCATCTTTCCGATAACGGATTTTTACGGATTTTATCGCGTACTTTTTAATTCCCGACATTTCGGGTGCTTTTAATTTCTTTTGCGAGGAACCCTAATTCTTTTTCTAAAATAAAAGTCTAAGCTAAGCCAATGTTACTCATTATGAAATCAGCTATCTGCCAGTGAAAGTCCCGTCAAAATCGGTCCAACCGTTTCGGAGATTAGCCGGAACAAACAGACAGACAATTTTTTTTAAATTGTATTTTTGTTATAAGTACCGTATATGCTTTCATAAGCATTGAGTAAAAAGCTGTAATTTTGATGCTGTAAATTTTCGTTACAAACAGACATTTCAATTTTATTTATTTGTATAGATTATCCCAAATTGAATGTGATTTATGGGCATCAATGATTTTGCCTACCGATCCGAATGTGTGCGTGTGCGATACGTTCAGCAAAGGACATGTGATGGGCTCTGGTGAGTGTGAGGGTACTGAAGCCTCGTACTTCCAAGAAGTGTTGGTGTATTGGACGTCTTGATAAAATATGTTTAGAGTATACAAGTGGCTCATGGCCGTGCTTATGCAGTTCATATGGGAGGTCTTTGTTTAGCAGTGGACTTGTGGCAATGAAAAACATAGCAACTGACTTACAAGGTGCTTGACGGTGCAGGGAAACGTCGTGACGAAACCCGTATGTCTGAGAAATATAAATAATTCCAAGACATGTGAAGTCCACCAATGCACACTGTAATAGCGTGGCACATTAAGTGCTCTAGAACTCTCTCAGGAATGAGGATGGTCCTGCACAGATGTGGGACGTATAAAGGCTTTATTGTTTTACTTCATCAATCATTCGGAATGCTTGTTTGCTGTTTCGGAAGGATTTTAGAATTAATTGATGTTTGTATAATAAATAGAAATATATAGAAACACGTGCCTCGTCTCGAAACGAGGAATCATCAAGTAGAAAAAGTAATTCAATAAATGAGCAGTTTTCTCGGTGGACATAATTTGACATTAAAGTGGTATTATTTTTTATTTTAACATTATTACGTAATAGATATGGTTTTTTTTTCATTTTATTTCATTGACAAGAAATTGTAATTTAGTACGGTTTTTCAATCAACATAAATAATGGTGGTAGCCTAGTAGTGAAACGTAATTCAATAAATTTTTAGGTTTGTATATTCAGCAAGCTGTATACCACTTTGATCTGCATATTAATATTTAAAACACAGATATCTAGTATACAAATAAATAAAAGACGAAGATTAGACGAAGGTTTATCGACCAAATCGGCGATACATTAAAAATGGGCCAGATTAGGAGTACCCTTAACCGACGAGCGTGTATGCGTAGATATATGGATGTAAAAGAGGCGAGAGAGGTGTGTCAGGATCGCGCCAAATGGAAGTCCGTAGTCTCTGCCTACCCCTCTGGGTGACAGGCGTGAGTGTTTATGTATATGTATGTATGTATGTAAATAAATAAAAGTGAAGTGTCTGTTTGTTATGTCAAAATCGCAGCTTTTAATTCAAAGACATTTAAGTAGTAGTAATAGACTGGACATCAGCAACAAAATGGTCACCTCTTACTTATGTCCTATGGGATATATTTCGGATTTGTGTCATTTAGTATTACTGACACCGCCAAAATCTCAAGACACATTGGTTTTATAAATTTAAAAAAATATTTTTAAAGATAATATGCCCGATTGTGCAATACGGTATTGTAAGTACCGATTACATATCGCCAAAAACTGAATGTGTTTTCTCATAATTTTCAAATTTTATTGTTACTGGTAGATTGTTCTAGAACATTTATCATTATTGTAATAAGCACCCTCTGTTATCCAGTAACGTCACCAAAGGAGTTAGTGATTGACAACGTTTATCGATTGGTGCTATCGATAAAAAATATTATACAGAATGCAGATTTAATCATCTACAATATATAAGAAGGTGAAACAGTAAGCAATACTGTACTCATACCAATAAAGAAATCGAGTGGGACTGTGTGTGTGTGGCACACGGCCGTTGGTTTTAACGTGAAACACGTCAGCCGTTACAACAAATACAACCAGTCAACAACATAGCATTCCTTTTAAAAATTTAATATAATTCTATAAAACCAGAAGAGTTGCAGATGCGTTTCTGGCCTTTTATAAAGGAGTAAGCTCGTTTCTTGAAGGTCCCTAAGTGGTACCGGTCCATAAAAATCGCCGATGGTAAACGATTCCTAATAAAACTCCTAATAAATCGCACGGTCGTGGACCGCCAAGCATCCAAATTATGTGGATGGTAACGTTAGATTCAGCGCGATGTGTGTTGATGAAATTTAGTGGCTGGCTATTAATCCGAACAATTCCTCAGAGCACTCCTCGTGGTAAATACGATAGAAAATTCAAAGGCATGTAACATCTCTACGCAGCGCCAGTAAATTGAGCCAATCAAAGAGAACTCTGTCGTCGACGATTCGAGCCGCTCTGATCTCTATGCGGTGAAGTGGAAAGACCCTTGGGAAGCCCCGGCCCAGAGATGGGAACAGTATTCCATATGAGGCCGAACATGCGCTTGTAAAGTTGTAAACGGTGTGCAGGTATGAAATATTGTCCCGCTCTACTGAGTACGCCAAGCTTTTTAGAAGCTATTTTAGCTTTTTCTTCCAAGTGACCATGCTACTGCAGATCATTCGATATGTCGACGCCAAAGATTCCCCTTCTGGTTGCGGCAACAAGGGAAGTAGCTCTGAAATTGAGGAGATACTATATATAGATAACGGTGGTAGAGCCTTGCAGCAGCTTTTGCTGTTGCACGTATGGGCCGGCTCGAGCCGGGTTAGTACCACGACCTCACAGAATACCGGCGTGAAGTGGAAGCTCTGCTTCCGCGTTTCGTCTGGTGAGTGCAGGTGACCGGATGCCCAATTCCCCCCCCCCCCCCCCCCCCCCCATCAACATGGTAGCGGAATCACGTCAAAAACTACCCCAGGAGGGTACCAGTACCCCTGGAGAATCCCTCGCTGAGCATCCACGACCAAGCTATTCCACTCCTGAGCGTGGGTGCTCAGGCTGCCCCGCGTATTCTGGGGGGGGCAAAATTCCGCTCAACACAATAACTGCTCGGGGCAAACTGAGCAACAAGACCAAGGCGACCCCTGCCACGCTATCCGTGAATTTCTGCAACATCAGGGGACTTCACTCGAACCTAAACGCCGTCCACTACCATCTTGAGACGGCGAAGCCGGCCTTGCTCTTTCTGACCGAGACGCAGGTGTCCTCTCCGGCTGATACTTCGTATCTCTCCTACCCGGGGTACAAATTGGAGCACTCCTTTGTGCCTCGGGCTGGAGTTTGCGTGTATGTCAGAGAGGACATCTGTTCTCGACGCCTCGGCAGTCTTGAAGGTTCGGACCTGTCCATCCTTTGGCTACGCGTAGACAGCGACGACCATCCGCGCGTCTACGTGTGCCTCTATAGGTCCCATAGCGGTAATGCCGAAACAGACCGACTCATCGACCACGTCCAAATGGCTACAGATTCCTTGCTACAACAGGTCCCATCCGCAGAGATCGTGATCCTTGGCGATTTTAACGCCCACCACGCCGAATGGCTCGGTTCACGTTTAACCGATCATGCGGGGAGATCTGTTTATGACTTTGCCTTGGCATATGGTCTGACACAACTGGTTACATCGCCTACGCGGATTCCAGATGTTGAGGATCATACACCTTCCCTGTTGGACCTTCTGCTGACCTCTCATCCGGACGGATATCAGGTTTCCGTCGATGCCCCTCTTGGCTCTTCGGACCATTGTCTGATCCGGAGTGTGGTGCCACTCACGCTCCCCTCGCGGTTGCGTTCTGCAGGTTGCCGCCGTGTTTGGCATTACAGGTCGGCGGATTGGGACGGAATGCGGTCTTTCTTTGCTTCCTACCCATGGGGGCGGGTTTGCTTCTCGCCGGATGATCCCAGCGCTGTTGCTGACTCTGTCACTGATGTAGTGCTACAGGGAATGGAACTATTTATTCCATCATCTGTGGTACCCATCGGAGGCAGATCTCAGCCTTGGTTTGGTCGCTCCTGTAAGACTGCATTACGCAGTAAGCAGGAGTGTTATCAAGCCTGGGCTGCGGCTTCGGTGACTCGGGATGTAAACACCAGCACACTCAAAAAGAAGTATAACTTCGCCTCCAGGTCCTTCAAAAGAGTTATTGCCAAGGCAAAGTCAGAGCACATAGGCAGAATTGGCGAGAAACTAGTTCGCCTTCCTTCGGGAACCCGTGCATTCTGGTCTCTCGCCAAGGCTGTCCAAGGGAATTTCTGTAAGCCATCACTACCATCTCTGCACAGGGAGGACGACTCACTGGCCCACGACGCAAAAGAGAAGGCCGACCTTTTAGGCTCCCTTTTTGCGTCCAACTCGACTGTTGATGACGGGGGGAACACACCGCCGACCATCCCGCGGTGTGAGTGCTCCATGCCGGATGTGCGATTCTCACAGCGCTCGGTTCGCAGAGCACTCCTCTCCCTTGACATCCACAAGTCGAGTGGGCCTGACGGAATCCCCCCAATTGTGCTGAGGACGTGTGCTCCGGAGTTGGCACCGGTTCTAACGCGTCTTTTCCGGTACTCTTACTCCCTAGGCGTAGTCCCGAAATCATGGAAGACAGCTTTTGTCCACCCGATCCCTAAAAAAGGCGACCGCTCAGATCCGTCCAACTACAGGCCTATCGCCATCACCCCCTTGTTCTCCAAAATAATGGAATCCGTTGTAAACTGCCACCTCATGCGGTACCTTGAGGATCACCAGCTGATTAGTGACCGCCAGTACGGTTTTCGTCGGGGTCGATCAGCTGGTGATCTTCTGGTCTACTTAACT